GGCAGAGGGGTCTGCACGCTCAGATCTCTGCCAGCTGGGGCCGGCTGCAGCCTGGCCAGGCCAGACTGGGAGTGGATTCTTCAGCTCCTGCTTTGAGCAGCGCCTCCAGCCCCACAGTGTGGTGGAGGGGAGGCTGCAAGGGGCCAGTTGGGCTTTGAAAATCCCAGGTAGAAATTTTGCTTGTGTTCCTTTCACTGCCTCACCTGCTTGTTCATTTTCTCCAGGGAGCCCCTGGGCACCAGGGCCAAGGTGGGCATGGGATTTTCCAACCCTGGTAGGTGAGACTGCCAGACTTCTACACCCTCTGTGCTGCCTGCTGGCCACAGGCAGTGTAGGCAGCCGAGGCACAAATGGGAGATGGGTCCCCCTTCGCACAGGGATACTGAGCACAAATCCATGAGGGGGGAGGGGGCAGAAATGAAGGAGGAGTTAGAGGGAACACACAGTCTCTGATCTCAGCCCTGGAAGGGGCCAAGAGAGCATCATCTAGCGCCCCGCCCCCCCATCTTCAGGCAAGTCATATTATTATCCCAACAGAAGACCAGAGAGGTTAGGTTCCTTGCCCAAAGTCACACAGCCAGTTCCTGGCAGAGGGGAAACTAGAGCCGAAGCTGGCACCAGTTACTGCAGTGGTTGCTCTTCTGCTTTAGTTTCTTTTTACTCAGGGCTCTTGGGGCTCCTACTGTCCACAACCCTACGCACATTGGGCTTGGGGGACTTCTTTTTTTTTAATATTTTATTTATTTATGACAGTGACAGAGAGAGAGAGAGAGAGGCAGAGACACAGGCAGAGGGAGAAGCAGGCTCCATGCACCGGGAGCCCGACATGGGATTCGATCCCGGGTCTCCAGGATCGCGCCCTGGGCCAAAGGCAGACGCCAAACCGCTGCACCACCCAGGGATCCCCGGGGACTTCTTACCTTAGCTTTCTTCTGCTTTGTGGTCCCCTGTCCCTGGAGGGTTGTCACAGAGATGCCCCTCTATTACCCTTTAACGACACAGTACCAGCTACTTCCAGAGGTATCCAGCTGGTTTCTCTGAGCCCTTCCTTAATCATTCCCTATCTCTCCTCAAATTCCAGAATTTTCTTTTTTTATTATTTTATTTTTTTAAAGATTATTTATTTATTTATTCATGAGAGACACAGAGAGAGGCAGAGACATAGGCAGAGGGAGAAGCAGGCTCCCTGTGGAGAACCCGATGCGGGACTTGATTCCAGAACCCTGGGATCACGACCTGAGCCAAAGCCAGATACTCAACCACTGAGCCACCCAGGTATCCCCCAGAATTTTCTTTGGCTGAACTGGTTGCAAGATTGTGACTGACCATTTAAGGAAGCTGAAGGTGGAGGTCTCTGCCTCTTACTATGTTTCTGATCCCTCCCCACTTTGTCCCCCAAATACTTCCCTCTTCCATTCTCAGCCTTGGTGGTCATCAGCTGATATTCTGCTGAGCCTAATCTGGGTCAGGAACTTCTTCAGTGAAAAGGATGGTTGATAAAATATAGGCCTTCCATGCTAGGAGCCCATAATAAATATCAGTGTTGGATAAACTGACCCGACCCTTACACATGAGAAAACAGGCCCAGGGAGGAAAGAGACTTGCCCACCATCACCCAGCTGCATGACGATGGAATCCAGGCCTCCTGATGGACAACAGACTGTCCTTTCCAAATTGCCAAACCAGTTCGGAGGGTGCAAGAGCCTGCAGCATGGGATGGACCCTCAGCCCTGTTCATGACCCTCAAGGAGCTCCTTGATTTCCCAGGTGACCTCTGGGTCAGCCCAATGGGCCTGGACAGCAGGAGCCACACTCTTGCCCTGAGTAGACCCTCTGTACGGGTCGACCAACCTGGTGGTGCCTCTGCAGGTAGCTCACAGTGTGTTTATTCCTTCTCTCACTGTCTTCCCCTGCCCTGCCCCATTCATTTCTGTCCAGCATAGCCAGGAGCCTGGAGGGTACCCAGAGCAATGGCGACCCAAAGACAAGGCCGGTACAGCCTGTGGAAGACCTCCCTGGACAGCATGTGAGTAACCACTGGTGGGGTTGACTCCTGCGTTCTCACATTCCCCACCCAGACATTCATTCACCCATCAAGCATTTATTGAGCTCCTGTTGAGTACTGGTAGCCATACCAGCAAGAAGGAAACTCTCGAATAAACATGGTCCCTTCCCTGAACAGTTCTCAGTACAGGGAGGAAGAGAGAGACCCAATGACAGAGCAGTGGGATTGGTATTATTCGGGGAGCACAGAAGGAGGGCAGGGAACTTTGCCAGCTTTGTAGGGGGTATTCATGGTGGGCTTTCTGGAAGAAGTGCTATCTAAGCTGAGTCTTGAAGGATGAGTGAGCATTATCCAGGTGAAGTGATGAGAAGAAGTATTCAGGCTGAGAGAACTGTTTGAGCAAAGGCCCAGGAGGGTTCTGTCTCTTATGACAACCTGGTGATGCCCCCTGAGTCCTGGGCAAGGAGGCTGAGAGACTCTGGACTTTCCAGATTTGGCTGTCCTTCCCCCTGACAAGGCTCTGCATGTTGAGATGCCAATGCCATGTGCCCCAGACTGCATGCTGCTGGGGAGAGGGGCAGGCTTTCATGTCAGACCTGTGGGGTGGGCTTTGTTCAAGTGTTCCAGGAGAGGGCCGAAAGAAGAGAGATCAGTAGCCTGCCAACGGTAGAAAGGCTGGAACTGTGTGCGACACAAATGGAACGTGCAGGTTGGAGGAGGCCACACGGAGAGAGGAGTCTGCAAAGCTTGGGCAGGCACCGGGGAGGAGCCTCTGGAGCCTCAGGCAGAGGAGGACTTGTGGCACTGGCTGAGAGCCTGCCGAGAAGGTGCCCTCCTGAGAACCACGATGGAGAGTTTTCTCCCCAGATGGGGCTTCTCCTCACAGGCTTCCAGAAAATGGCAGCTCATGATGTCCTTGAGGAGAGTGGCTATGGGCGTAGCTGGATGGGATGCCTGTTGGGGACAGGCTCAAGGGGCCTATATCATGGGACAGAGGAGTCACCAGAGGGCATTGTTCAGGGCAGAGATGTTGGAGGAGGCTCTGATTGGGAATGCCTGAGAGGTGCTGCAATCAGAACTCTGATTTGAAGAAAAGCTGAAAAAGAGGATTGTGCGCCAAAAGCAGAACTAGAAATTAAGATCGTGTCCCCCAACGGAGCACCTGTCTCTGCCTGCAACAGTTTACCCAATGTGAGCGGGGTGGGGGGTGCAATTTCCTTTGGCCAACCTTACACCTTGGAACCCCAACAGCGCAACCTCTTGGGCAGTGAGGTCTCCAGGCTGAGCTGGCTCTTTCTCTGAAGGAGGAAAGGGCATTGGCCCCATAGAGGCAGACCCGGGAGCCCCTCCATTTGGGGCAGAGGGCAATTCTGTTTTTCTGCTCTGTACTACCCTGGGGCCGTCCCTGCTGCTGGGATGTGTGAAAGGTGAAGCCAACAGGCTGGCGCTCTGGAGCTGGGTGGGGGCAACAGGGTATCAGCAGGGGAGGCCTTGGCCCCTTGGTGCTCCCGTGCAGAGATGTCATGCTATGCTTTTCTTTGGGGCAGGGACATCTAGCACACAGAGGATGGGCTGAGGCTCTTCATCGCCAAACATGTGGGAAGAACACGCCTGCGCATGGCTTTCTTTTCCTATGCATGTATTCAAACCAATACGTTCTGTTCTTATGGAGACAGAATCCTAACCAGAAGGGTGAAGCGGCACACCTAGTCATCGCTAACCTCTTCTTCAGCTCTGGGGAGGTTCAGAAGAAGGTGGGGGAAGCATCCTCCACCAATCAGGCACTAACTGAACATGGACCAGGCCAGAAAGCACATTTATCACAAACTCCTTAACGAGCAACTTCCAATTATATGCATTCATAGATGGAAAGCATACTTCAGAGAATACAAAACTCATTTTTATTTGGCTTTTTTTTTTTGGCAATGGATTTCTCTTCCTAATCATATTTTTGCATAAACTAATATTAAACTGGATTTGCATTCTCAGAGCACAAGCTGGAGCCGGTGAGGTGGGAGGCATGTCAGTCTGGACTTAAAAAATTGCCCGCAGATAATTGACAAAACAGATAAAATCAGACTGAGCTGGGTACTGTGATTACCAGTAGTCAGGATCATCAGAATCCAACTGGCCTTGGACATGGAAACTTCCTTTGAGGACTGCCTAGTATTTACAGAAATCATCCCTTATAACCTCTTTGTTTTACAGAGGAGTAAACTGAGACAGAGAGTCCAAAGGTGTCTTAGGCTAGTATCCTCATGGCATTTCTTTTAAGGGGTCAGAAGATAGTAAACTATCTAGTTTACTATCTAGTAAACTCCAGGTGGCAATAGGATGGAGGTGGGCTGGAAGCACAGACTGCTGACAAGGGAGGGAGGAGGAGAAGGCCTAGATGGGAAAAGGTGCAGGTGATAGTGACCCAAAGTCCTGGGGCCCTGCAGGAGTCGGAGGCACAGGCTGTAGCTGCACGGCTAGTGATCAAGGAAGGAAGGCCCCCAGGTGCCAGGAAGACGCTCAAGCCAAAGGAGGGCCTGTATGGAGACGCTGTGTTCCTCTCCCCCTGGGCCGGGGGCGGAGGCCTGGGCTTAATGGGCAATGAAAATATGCCAAGTTCCCCTCCCCTAACTCGCATCCCTTCCAGGGCTAAGATTCGTCTCCCAGTTCTTCCTCAGCCTCGCGGAGGAAAGGGGGAAACCCCGTGGGCGTCCGGCCGAGATCTTGCACCTTGCCAGGTGGAGGGAAGCGCCCCGCCCCCAGTGGTGGGCCGAGACCCTCCCAGGCTCGTCCCTCCAGGCGTGGGCAGGGAGGGAGGGCGAATGGGGGTGGGCGGAGCCCGGAGCGGGGGCGGGGCCGCCGGCCGCCCAATCCCCTTCTTGCCCCGCCCCGCCCCGCCCCCAGCTCCCGTTCCACCAATGGTGCTCCGCGGTGGGCGGAGCCTGTCCCGGCCGCCGGCCTGGGTGCGCTGTTTCCCCCCCCCCCCGGTTCTTCCTCCCTTTCTTTCTTTCTTTTTTTTTCCCCCCTCTCCTTTTTTTGTGAATGAAAAAAGGAGGTCGCGAGCGGGCCGCGGGACTGCAGCGCCCGGCGTCTTGGCGGCCGCGCCCCTGCCCTCCTGCGCTGCGCGTCGCCTGCAGCCTCCGCAGCCCGAGGACCCGCGGCGGCGGCGCGGCCCAGGCGCCCGAGGTCGGGGCGGCCGCGCGCAGCCCCCTCCAGCGCGCCTCCATGACCCCGGGCGCCCGGGGCGCGGGGAGATGCTGATCCGGAAGAGGCGGTGGCTGCAGTGGCGCGCGCGCGGCCGCCCCCGGCCCGCCGTCCGGCCTGGGCGGCTCTGCCTGAGTTTCCGATCCCGCGCGACCCGGGCCCGGAGCCTGTAGCGGCGGCGGCGGCGGCGGCGGCGGCGGCGGCGGCAGCGCGGCGGCCCCGCATCGTCCTAACTTGCACGCGCGGAGTGACCCCAGACATTTCACTAAAATGAGCGTGCTTAGCAGGAAGAGATGTGTTCCTTACACTAGAAATTACCCCGTCACATGTAGTGGTGTAAGTAAATGATTAATTTCTATTATGGCCGGGTTGCAAGCTGCCTGGAAACGCGCCGCCTCGCCCTCCCGTGCCCTCCCCGGCCCTACCTGCGCCCCTTCTGCAGACTCCCCTCCCTTTACCCCCCACCCCCCACCCCTCACCCCTGCGGGTCCCTCTCCCCTTGGCTAGAGCTTTGGCTGCTGGGGTCTCAGGGGGCGGGGGACTAACCTTTTCCGGGTTTTTCTAGGGAAAGGAACAGGACTTGATTGCCTCGGCGTGAGGTGGCCTTCCCCTCTACCCGTTTTTAAACATTTTATTTCTGTTTCGTGTGTGTGTGTGTGTATGTGCAGAGCAGCGTGTCAGGAATCAAGGTCCAGAGTGGTGGAAATGTTTCTGTTTAAAAACCAATGGCATTTGGATGTTTTGCTCGCCGATCCGGAGACCTTTCTTTCAACCCAACTCCATTGCAGTCTGTGCATCAGAGTTCTGGCAAACTATGGGAGAGACGCTTAGCGTTGCTTGTTGATGTTTGAGAAGGTTTGTGTGTGTGTGTTCAGGTTTGCAGTTTTTGTTAATACCATCATTCAAGATCCCTTTGAGCCTTGCTGTCCATTGAATCTGCAGGAGGGACTCCTCTCATCTCTCCGCCTTCCCCAATGCTACAGTGTCAGCAACCTCGGTGAAAAGCCACCCTCTTTGGTCTTCTCTTCCCGATTTTCCCTTCCTCCCCATCCTCCTCGATTTTTACCTTCATTTTGAGGATATTCCTCCCTTTTGCATTTTGTAAGATGCAGGATGTGGGATATTGGTTGCTAGGAGACAAACCAGGCTCCCAGGGAGATTCTGTTGTTTCCTTGACAACCAGACTAGGACAGCCACAGATGAACAAGCCTCCTATCAGCTGTGGGAGGGAAAGGGGGGCTTTTCTGGGCTCTGCAAAGAGTGTGTGTAGGGGTGTGGGGGTGGGACTGAGCCGGTGAGGGTTGTAGCTAATCTGAGCACACCCTGCTTTTTGGCCTGGCCTGAGTACAAGGAGCTCGGAGAGCAGTGGGCAGGAGGCCGATTGTGGAGAGGGGGACAGGGATCGTGGGACAGGGTGGGGAGGGAGCATCTATGTGACTCTGTGATCACTGAGGGAGAGGAATGAATTGGAGGTGGTGGTACCCCGGGCAGGATGGCAAGGAAGCCATAGTTTATGGAGGTTTGTCTAGAGGCTCAGAAGGAATGACAATGAGGCAATTGTGCGGAAAAGTCTAGTCATTGAAGGAGAGCGTGCCAGAAGGGAAGGGGAACTTGAGAAGCTCATTGAGTGGGTTGTATCATCATCATACATCACCAATGATACAGTAAAGTAGCAATATTCTAGAGCAAAAATTATATTACTGGTGGTTTTGGCACGCTGTCTCCAGTACAGAATCCCTGTTTAAGACAGGCCTGATTCGACTAAAGAGTTTTGCCTGCTGGCTTAATTGGGCCAGTCTGTATCTTAAAGAGAGAGAGAATTATATATATAGATATGTAATCTAGCATTATATAATACCAGATTACATAAGAAGACAAATACCTCCTTTCCGCCCAGGCTCTCTTGGCGTGAATTCACCAAGATTTGGAAAACTTTCTTCCAGAGGCCTCATACCCATTTTCCAGAAGGGCAGACTGATGCCCAGAGAAGCCAAGTGATTTGCCCTTTCCTAGATCAGAAGCTTCCTAGATTTGAAGTCAGGCAGTTGGGACAGGGGTGGAGTGGGTGAGAATGATAAAAATAGGGAGGAAGTCCAAGGACAAGCAGGGGAAGGCTGCAGGAGCAGCTGAAGAGTGGATGGGGAGGGGCTGTGGAGCCGAGCAGCACCCAGCAGGTCTGCTGTCAAAACTCGGCAGTGTTTGTTGCCGTCCTACTTGTTGGTTAGCTGTCCCTTACTTAACCCTGGAGGTGTTTGAGGTGTGCAGGGGTGTTTTAATCATAAATTCTCTGATTTTGAACCAGCATTGCTCTACTGGTGTTCTGGCATCCTCCTCACCATCCAGGTGCTCCTGGATTTAAGAACTGCTGCCCCTCCTCTGTGCCTCCTCATTCCTCCTCCTGCTTCCACACCCACAAGGCCATTAGAATCTAAATTTGAGAAAGAAGTTCTGTTGGTGAGTGGGTTATAGTCTCTCTCCTCCAGCCATACATATTTGTGTTTGGGAGTCTGTCTGTTTTGTCCTTCAGAAACTACAGCCCAGGTCATTCCTTCCCAGTTGCCTGACTTGAGATCAGGAACCATCAAAGTGGGTTTCCTGGTCTTGAGCTCGGGAGAGAGCAGGGAGGAGGCAAGATGGTGGTTAGAATAAGGGCTGCCCACTAGGGAGGGTAAGGAGGGTAGAGGAGGCAGGAGGAATCATGCAGCCAATTGCTCTGGAGATTGAGGAGGGGCTGCGTGGAGCCCCCTTGTTTGGAGTTCAGATCCTGTAAAATTCCGAGAAGGAGGAGGCGCTTGTCTCATTGAAAAGTCCTTGCTGCACTTTCTGCTTAGGTTGCTGAGATGTATCTACTCACGCAAATCCCAGTTGCCATCGTTACTTGGATATTTCAGTTCTGCATTCCTGCATGCTGGCATCCAGTTACAGCCCGGCAGGAATGGAGCTGCTCTGTTGCTGCTGGTGGCCTGGCTCTCTGGCCGGATGGCTCAGCGGTGAGGGTGCCTGGATTGCCTCCAGGACTCCTAGGAGTTCAGCCTTCCTTGGCCTAGGAAGGAATCCTCCAGGTGGCTCCAGCCCCCAGCTGACTTCGTGCACACAGGGAATGTGAGCAGGAGCAGGCCAGTGACCTAGGTGAAAAACCAAGTTCCCTAACAACGTCTGCCTTGCACCTACCTCTGCCTCCTCCCCTCAACCCCTTCAGCAGAGTAGATGCCACTGGAGCCTGCCATCCGAAGTCCCTTCACCCCCAAGCTGAGGGTCCCTTTTGGGTGACAGCGTTTTAAACACTTACATGACATTTTGACTACAGAAGGCCTTTCTGTTTGTTAATTTGAGCCATCCCCCTCTGTGGGTGCACAAGGCACTTCCCCTCTGCTCAGCACAGAAGGAAACTGAGGCAAACATTTGCCCAGAAATTCAAGCCCAAGTTTCTGACCCCCCTTCTTTCCCCAGCAACCCCATTACCCATGCAGCCAATTGAGCGTCCTTCCAGCAGTGCCAGGTGTCTGGGGGCTTCCAGCCTGAGAATCCTTCTCCCTAGGAATGGAAAGTATGGAAGGGGACCCATCTCATTCTCCCTCAGGCTGCATGCAGGATGCTTAGAGGGCATGCCTGAGTAGGGGTGGGGAGGACCCCTGGACACAGACTGAATGGTCACAGGCCCATGTTTACTCCACTGCCATCTCAAAACTGGGCCTGCAGCTGAATGAGCCAACATGACAGGCTCAGAGGAGAGGAGAGGAGGCCCATGGGCTGCTCAGGCATCTCTCTAAAGGAGGCCCGGGGCTAGGATTGGAGGGTAGCCATAGGCAAGCCAGGGCTTGAAAATCCACCACCAGGGAGGGAGGCAAACAAAGGTGGAGGACAGGAGAGCTGCCACCCAGCTCTGACAAGTCCATTAAATTTTAAAGTGGCCCTGCCCTCAGGCATGCTGGGAAGGGGTGGAGACCTGGCCTGGACTCTGCTTTTCTCAGCTGTTTGTAGTTCTGCCCAGAGGAGGAGAGTGTGGATGATGAGTGAGCTTCCCAGGTAGACTCTCCTCTTCCTGGGAGCGTGGGGATGGGCCCCACGGCAGGGTCTGCCTGGGGATCTCTCACCGGCCTCCCCCAGCCAGAAGCCCAGTGGGAGGATGGTGGCAACAGGAGGCAGATGAGTAGATCGTGCGGTAGAACTGCTCCTCTCAGCCTGAATGCCCCCCCCGCCACTTCCCAGGCCCCGCAGAACTATCGCCCAGAAAGCTACCCACTCCCTTCACCCCCTCTCCACTCAAAAGCTGGCAGACGGGCCAGCCTGACAGAGGAGAGCCACTGGCCCTGGCCCTCGGGCCTCTGGGGCGCGGAGCCGTCTTGACCGCTGTGTTCTTCTCCCTCAGGTCCCAATTAATGGATTCTGACATGGATTATGAAAGGCCAAACGTAGAGACCATCAAGTGTGTTGTGGTGGGAGACAACGCGGTGGGCAAGACCAGGCTCATCTGTGCCCGGGCCTGCAATGCCACCCTCACCCAGTACCAGCTGCTTGCCACCCATGTGCCCACGGTTTGGGCCATTGACCAGTATCGGGTGTGCCAGGAGGTAAGTCTACAAGGCCGCTCGGCTGGGGGCCCGCCCTGTGTATCTGGGCTTCTTTCCAAGCCATAGCTCAGTGTCTCCAAACAGGACCCAGCCCATGGAGGCCCCTGGGGATGGAGGGGGGGCAGCAGCTGAAGAGGAAGGAGCTCCTGGAGAGAGGGCTGAAATGAGCCCACCCCAGGGGGAGGGATCTTTAACCATTTGTGTTTTGCATAGCTGGGCTGGTGCCGGAGACCCAAACTTTGCCTGGAGCACAGCATCTTATGCAGTCACAGCCCCCAGTAATAGGGAGCACTGTGGGGAAGAGGGTGGTGTGTTGGAGAGCAGAGAGGAAGGAAAAAACTGTTGGCTAATACCAAAATCAGAAGCCTGTGATTTGCAGATGAAGCTGGGAACAGGGCAGGCTCCCTGACAGTCTGCCCTCTTAGAGGCTCTTCCTTTCTGACCAGCTTAGAGGCTACTCTTGCTGTTGAGTCTGCAGAGATGGCACCTGGCTAAAGTGCTATGCACGGCACTTGGACACAGAGGGGGTGGCTAGCTCTGTCCCTCTACCCCCATGCTGTCCAAGACCCTCAGGGATGAGTTGGCGTCACCCTGAGCTAACATGTGAAACCCCTAGAACCATTGCTCATGATTCCCACTCCTCTCCCTCACCGCTGCCACATCCCACAGGTGCTGGAACGCTCCAGAGACGTGGTAGATGATGTCAGCGTCTCCCTCCGCCTCTGGGACACCTTTGGAGACCACCACAAAGACCGTCGCTTTGCTTATGGGAGGTAGGTAAGACCTCTGGTTGCCTGCAGGGAGCCAGGTGGGGCAGGCTTTCCCTGCTTTTAAAGTGAGCAGCACGGTGACATTTCAGCTGGGATGTGGGAGCAGGGCACACAGCATTGGCAGACCCTCAGGGGGGAGGCAGCCTGGGACACTGGAAGGAGCCGGGTTTGGCCTCAGGAAGCCAGGTTGGACTCTCAGCCCTGCTACCTATCAGCTCTGTGACTATGTGCAAATAGAACCTGTTCTGAAATGATTTTCCTAACCTGTGAATTGTAAAATGGTAATTTCTAACCCGTAAGACAGCTTTGAGGTCAAAACGAGGGTTTTCAAAGGCTCTGAAATGCTAAATTAGAGGCTCATAAGTTAGAAGTCCTCTTATGATCCGTCTGTGTAAGGTCACGTGAGTGGATGCATGACAGATGTGGGATGTAGTGTAGGGTGGGGTGTGTATGTGTATTCTCCCTTGTTCCAGGGGCCGATCACCTACCGCTAGCTTTCCCGGCCCGTAACCTCATTCTCCCACCCCCAGATCCGATGTGGTGGTTCTGTGCTTCTCCATTGCCAACCCTAATTCCCTGCACCATGTCAAGACCATGTGGTACCCAGAAATCAAGCACTTCTGCCCCCGAGCACCTGTCATCTTGGTGGGCTGCCAGCTGGACCTGCGCTATGCTGACCTGGAGGCTGTCAATAGGGCCAGGCGACCCTTGGCTAGGTAGGGGGTGCTGGTGCCTAAGGAGGGGCAAGGTGGCAGACAGAGGGAGGGGGTGCATCTCCATGGATCCTGTTCAGCCCTGAGGGAATCCACTTGGCCTCATGTCTTACCTTCCATTTGAAGCAAGCCATGCGGGGGAGTGGGAGAGGGGGCAAAGAGAGTGCCCATTATGGTTCATTTGTTCATCCATCCCTGTATCCATCCATCCATGCATGTATTATAGTCTGTGAGGGCAATCCTAGGGTGAGCACCATGGGACAGGATAAAAGGAGGTGGTCTTTGCGTGAAAGGGGCTTATGATCACCGTGGGAGGTGAACTCCATATATGGCCATGTTAAAAACCAGCATGCAATATTGCATGCTAAGTGCCAGAGAGGTAGTGCTGCCTCGCTTGGAGTTGGGAGGGTGGGGACCTGGCATAAATACGGAAGGCTTCCTGTAAGAAGAGGGGATTGGAAGCGGGCTTGAAGTACTGGTAAGATTTGACTAGACAGAGGAGAAAGAGCAGGAGTGAGGCAGAGACAGATCCTGAACAGAGCCCTCCACCCCCACCCCACCCTTCAGTCCCCTGAAGAACAGGCAGGCTGTGGAGAACTGCCTCTGCCCTCCTCTCCCTTTCCCTCTTCTCTTCCCCCACCAACATCTTTGGTTTTCCTTCTTGAACCTACCAGGCCCATCAAGCCCAATGAGATCCTTCCCCCAGAGAAAGGTCGGGAGGTGGCGAAGGAGCTGGGCATCCCCTACTACGAGACCAGTGTGGTGGCCCAGTTTGGCATCAAGGACGTCTTTGACAATGCCATCCGCGCTGCGCTCATCTCCCGGCGGCACCTGCAGTTCTGGAAATCCCACCTCCGCAATGTGCAGCGGCCTCTGCTGCAGGCACCCTTCTTGCCTCCCAAGCCACCCCCCCCCATCATTGTGGTGCCCGATCCCCCGTCCAGCAGCGAGGAGTGCCCCGCCCACCTCCTGGAGGACCCGCTGTGTGCGGATGTCATACTGGTGCTGCAGGAGCGGGTGCGCATCTTTGCCCACAAGATCTACCTCTCCACCTCGTCCTCCAAGTTCTACGACCTGTTCCTCATGGACCTGAGTGAGGAGGAGCTGGGGGGCCCCTCGGGGCCAGGGGGCCCTCGCCCAGAGGACCACCGGGGTCACCCTGATCACCACCACCACCATCACCACCACCACCACCACGGCCGGGACTTCCTGTTGCGCGCGGCCAGCTTTGACGTTTGCGAGAGCGTGGAGGAGGGTGGGGGCTCTGGTCCTGCTGGGCTCCGTGCCTCCACCAGCGACGGGATCTTAAGGGGCAATGGAACAGGGTATCTGCCTGGGAGGGGTCGAGTACTGTCTTCCTGGAGCCGAGCTTTTGTGAGCATCCAGGAAGAAATGGCAGAGGATCCTCTCACCTACAAATCCCGGCTGATGGTGGTGGTAAAAATGGACAACTCCATCCAGCCGGGGCCCTTCCGGGCTGTTCTCAAGTACCTGTACACCGGAGAGCTGGACGAGAACGAGCGGGACCTCATGCACATCGCCCACATTGCTGAACTGCTGGAGGTCTTTGATCTGCGCATGATGGTGGCCAACATTCTCAACAACGAGGCCTTCATGAACCAAGAGATCACTAAGGCCTTCCATGTCCGCCGGACCAACCGGGTTAAAGAGTGCTTGGCAAAAGGCACTTTCTCAGGTATGGATTGTGCTTAGGAGGGTAGGGGAAACTAACCTCCTGTTAGTCTTCTGAAGAGTCGGGGTTGGTCCGATTAGCCTTTTGAGTCATCTCAGCTGCTGATGTCCTGGAGGTATGATGACTCTGCCCCTGAAGCCTAGCACCCAAGCCCGAGAGCTTGGTCACGTAGCACTCTACGGCTGTGGCTTCAGAAGGAAGTGGGTTGTCTCGGCACAAGGTCGAGCTTTGGGGTCGGTGGTCCCACATTCTTTTACCACATCCTCACGAGATACCTCTTCTCCTCCTGGACAGATGTGACCTTCATCCTGGACGATGGCACCATCAGTGCCCATAAGCCCCTGTTGATTTCTAGCTGTGACTGGATGGCCGCCATGTTTGGGGGACCATTTGTAGAGAGTTCTACCCGAGAGGTAAGGCTGGGAGGGGAATGGTTGGGAAGGAGAGAGAGACCTACACGCTTCGCACCTGAAGCATCTGCCATTTACTGGTACTTCCCTCAGCACTGCCTAGGTGCTTGCTCACCACCGAGTGACAGGCTCACGACAAGTTGATGAGTTGGGTCCCATAGCCAAGGATCTTACGATATATCAAGACAGGATTATAGTGACATCTTCACTTTATGGTGTAGAAAGCACTTCTGATACATTAGCTCATATCAGCTCACACACAACTCCTATACATGGTGTCCTGTTCCCACTTTACAGAGTGAGGCCCCAGGAAGTTAAGTGTCTGGTGCAAAGTTATGTAAGTAGAAAGGAGAGGTTCAGACTTGAACTCAAGACTTCCCATTCCTTGGCTCTATATGTTGTACCCTGCTTTCTCCCTAACACAAGTGAGCCCACTGGAAAAAATTTGGTGTGTGCCAACATGAATCCATCGCTGTTTTAAATGTCAGTCTTACTGAGGTACAATGAAGCCCACAGATCAGGAGAAGATTGCCCTTGAACAAAGAGCTATTTATACTCACAGGTGTCAGTAGGCGGGGGCACGCACGGCATAGGAGACCATACGGGGAAGCAGCAGGGTCAGCCTGGAGGCAGAGGGAGCGAGCGAGGGGTGACAGGACACGAGCCTTCACTGTAGTTCCTATGGGAAGCAACGAGGTAAGGCAGGGGGAGCAGGCTCAGGATTGGCTAGTCTGAATGATTTCAGCAGGTTTTGGGGCTGTCCCAAGTCATCTGGTACCTGGCCTTGGGGTGACGAGAGCAGGGGACAGTGGCAGGGAGAGTGAGCCTGATAAAGGAGGTGGTTGGGGTGAGGACTCTGGGTTGGTTAGTTTGCACGTAAGAGGCAGGCCGACTGCCTCCTTTACTAACTTGAGGATTAACTAGCATTGGGAGGGGCAGCCCTGTCTAGGGTCAGCAAGGCCCCAGAGGTCAGGGCAGCAGAACATAGACAATAAAAAAATGCTTCGTATAATCCCCTCTCCCTCTAATCAGGCTGCTCTGACCCGACCATTCCGTCACCTAGATGGCCACTTTCTCAGGCACTGAGACGGTAAAGGGACCTGTCACTGCGTCCTTAAGAAGTACTCTCTTAGGTCCGTCCTCTCTTCTCCCTTCTCCCAGCCAAGCAAAGCGGCCAGGGCGAGGAGCTGCATGTTCTGTATTTTCCTTGACCCCCTGTACCCTTACTTGTCCATCGCCCAGCCTCATGGGTAACGAGGCCCAGCTTGGTGCCCCTGCTTCAGGTTCTCAGGGTCCACACACTGTTTTCTCGACTGGTCTGGGATTTCTTTCGAGTGTGGGGACTAGGGGACTAGGTCTTTTACTTCTGCTGAGTCGTCCCCGCCCCCCTTAGCCCACGCTGGTCCCTTAGTAAGAGCTTGAGGGAAAGACAGGATAGCATTCTGTGACACAGAAGAGCAGTTTCTTAAGATTTCTGGGAAGGAAGTTCTTCCAGAAGGCTAAGTGGAAGGTCTGAGACATGATTTGGGCTCTGATCCTTGAAGCATGAGCGGCCTTGGCTTCTGTAAGTGTGAGACTCAGCGCTCCCCAGCGCCCCAGGGGCTGGCCAGCCCTAGGTACTTCTTAGTACCATAGAAGCAGCTTTAAAGCTCTAGACAATTCCCAGGCAGCCTAGAGAGACTTGTGTCTGATGAGAAAGCAGTTTTTGTTGCAGCACTGCTCAGAAGAGATCCCAGGGGCCTGGAGCAGCAGCTTCAAGCAGCCAGAGAGAAGGCAGCTGGTGTCGGCTTTGTCCCTTGTACCCCACTTGCACCACCCTCTGTAAGGCCAGGAGAGGCCAGGGTGTAGGTTCAGGTGGCAGGAAGGACTCCCTCAAACATCTTGTGAGCCAGCATGGCTTTGGAAGCATGCCACTGAGAATCCAGGTCCATTCATTCATTCATTTATGATTTACTTAGTTATTTTAGAGAGATGGGGGGGAGTACACACCTATGCAAACGTGGAGAAGGGCAGAGGGAAAGGGGGGGAGAGAATCTCCAGTGGACTCCCTACTGAGCGTAGGGCCCAACGTGGGGCTTGATCTCAAGACTCAGATCGGAGTCTGACGGCTCAACCGACTCAGCCACCCAGGCGCCCTGAACCCAGGTCCATTTAAGAGTCTTTTGAGTTTCCCCAAACTAAGCTCCTTCTTCCCTGAGGCCATCCGTCTTCCTTCCCCCCTCACAGGTGGTGTTTCCTTACACGAGCAAGAGCTGCATGAGGGCAGTGCTAGAGTACCTCTACACGGGCATGTTCACCTCCAGTCCCGACCTGGACGACATGAAGCTTATCATCCTGGCCAACCGCCTCTGCCTGCCACACCTGGTTGCCCTCACAGGTACACAGGGACCACCACAGGGATAGGGAGAAGCTAGGGAAAGGCGGAGAAGTCCTGTTGTCTTCTCTCACCTGTCTCCCCCCAGGGGACCGGCTGTGAGCACTAAGGAAAGTGGTTATATAAAGTGAAGTATGTTGATGCGTATTAGGGCTTGGGTAAGGACATAGATGTAAAGAAGTGCATGTGACAGGCATGCTCGATGGTGTCACATTCTAGGCTCTCTGCAAAGGGTTTGGGGTTCAACCAAGCTACCTCCAATAGATGACAGCACCTGGTGTTCCATCACCTTTGCCTCAGTAGGACAAGCTTAAGTCAAAAGATGTAGAACACAATTCCTCACTGCTCCCCTTTGGTTCTTCTCCTCCTCCTCTGCCTTCTTTCATTCTTTCTTCTCTTCCTTCTTGTCTTCCTCTTCCTTCTCTTCCACGTTCACTTTCTCTTTTCTTCCAGAAGCAGGCAATAAACATTGACCTGCCACCCCTAGTTCCCTGAAAAGACCAGGAGAACTGGAACTCAGCTTTTAGAATGGGCCAACCGCTGAGGCCCTCGGGGTGGAGCAGGGCTACTTAGATATTGTGTTCAGATTCAGGGAAGGACCTAACATCAGAGCTGCTGGGGTACTGGACAGATGACCAAGACAGGGACTCACATAGGAGGAAAAGAGCAATACCATGATGAGAAATCAGTTATAAGGTGGGCCTCTGTTATAGGAAGAAGGAAGAAATCATTGATCAGAATTTGAATGTTAGGAGCGGAGCCTACAGAGAGAGTCCAGGGTCCCCAGTTGGAGACACAGATGGCTTTAGGGTGGGGAGCAAGAGAGAGGCTTCCAAAGATCACAACTGGAGCCGTGTGACGCCATAGCCGCCTGTGAAAAGTGGTGTGGTCTTCACAGAGCACAGACAGCGTCCAAATAATTTAACTGTGGAAAGGCTATCTCCAAAGAAATGACCCAAAGGCAAAGTATGTATAAATATGCTGCTTTTAAATTTGCTTCATCATGGCGGGCGATCAGAAACAAGTCAGCCACTACAAATGTTAAACTGCGCTGCTGCGTGGAGAGGCTTATAGAAAATGCCACCGAGTGACTTTTCCTGGGGAACGGCCCATACGTACTACCAAGCGTACAGATGTGTGTTGTACATGTGCCTTGTCAAGGGTCAGCAGCTAATGCCAAGCAGGGTACAATTGATGATGCTCTATGTTTGGGGAGATATGCTTTCTATGAAGGTATTAACTCAAGCCTAAAACTTTTTCATTGTTCAGTAGAGCACAAATGCATGAAATATGTGTTCAGCTTCATGAATTATCATAGAGTCAAATGACCCATATTGGGAGCTAGCACCTTGCTGTCCATAGTGGAAGCCCTCTGCCTGTACCCCCCACCCCCCTCCCCAGTCATGAGCACTTCCCCATCCTCAGAAGTAATGCTTTGCCTATTACTTTTTTATAGGGTATTTTTTATGGCCTCACTTCCTTACTCTTCATGGTTTTATCTTCCAAGTGTACATCCTTAAACACTATAGCATAGTCTTATTTTTTATATGCCTTTTAAATTTCTTCTAATCTAAAGGTTCCTTGTCCATTAAAAAATTTTTTTCCCTTGCAATTTATCTTCTGGAAAAAAAAAAACCCACTGATGTAGAAAATCTAGAGTTTTCAGATTGGCCATTGGATCTGGAGCTAGATCAGATTCATACTCAATTTTCTTTTGCTGAACTAATCCATAGATTATTCCTGTTTTGTTTTAAGATTTTATTTTTAAGTCATCTCTCCACCCAATGTGGGGCTCAAACTCTCAACCCCAAGATCAAGGGTCGCATGCTCCACTGAGTTGGCCAGGTAGCCCATTGCTGTTTTTTGTCAAGAAGCTTTGTTTCTTTTTGTGATCTTTTTGTGATGTTAGCAGCCACTGAGTATCATTGCCTGGATTGATTGATTTATTAGGTGTTGTGAAATGGTAATATTCCAATTCAGTCATTCCTTCTTTATCAGTTGGAATACTTCTCAAAAGAGAGTAACTTCCCCCTCACCTATCCTCTGTTTTATCCAGGAGAGCGTCCGTATGGGGAAGGCAAATGAACGCTTGACTGAACCCTTTTATTTACCGGTTTTCAAGAAAAATCTGTTTCCCATCACCCTTTGAGAGTGCCTGATTAGTTTTTAAGTATTATTCCGAACATTGAGATTTGCACACACTCAATAGGTTTCAGATAAGTACAGTTATCCTTATGGAAGCTGAAATACTGCACTGCATCTTAACCAGCAGGAGTCTCTTCAGGTTGGCACCAGAGTGAGCTTTCTGGTTATGTGCAGTGACAAGATGTTCCAGGTGAATCTCCTGCCCCAGACCTGGCATCAGCCGTTTCCCTAAGAAATCTGTTTCTTATAGTTGGACATGGTATTTCAAGGCTATAATTTGTGCACTAGTGATGCGTTACTACTGTATTGTTTCTAGCTTTTGTTTTTAGGTCTCTTCCATGGACCGAGCTGGGAAATATATTTTAAAGTGTATTTATTTATTTATTTATTTATTTATTTATTTATTTATTATTTATTTATTTATTTATTTATTTAGGAGAGAGAGCGCACCCACATGTGAGTGGGGTTGGGGGAGAAGCAGAGGGAGAGAGGGGGAGAGAGAATCTCAAACAGGCTCCACGCCTAGTGCGGAGCCTGACACAGAGCTCAATCTCCGGACCCTGAGATCATGACCTGAGCCAAAACCAAGACGTTTAACCAACTGAGCCACCCAGGTGCCCCCATAAAGATGAAATACCTCATGAGTTTATACTGGTACAGTTAAACCTCAGGACAAAATGTTCTTCAGGGGATCCCTGGGTGGCTCAGTGGTTTAGCACCTGCCTTTGGCCCAGGGCGTGATCCTGGAATCCCGGGATCGAGTCCCACGTCAGGCTCCTGGCATGGAGCCTTCTTCTCCCTCCTCCTGTGTCTCTGCCTCTCTCTCTCTATGTCTATCATAAATAAATAAATCTTAAAAAAAATGTTCTTAGTATAAATATTCTAACATAGAATGTAAGGTTTGTTCATAATTTGTTGTAAAATTTCAATTAATACAAACAACTAGGTCCAGTCCATAGTTGTGATTCGTAGTCCACAGCAAACCTGAGATTTCTCACCGTCTCCCATCAGTATCAATGGCTGGTTCTGGGGGCTTGCACCCTCCCTACATATATCAGACCACTGGGTGCTACAAAGGCAGTTTGACCAGTTCTCCTACGTGATTGTAACTAATATCCGCCTTCACTTCCCACCCCCACTCCACTGAGAAAGTCTTGCTGTAATCTCAATTTCCTCCCTGGTAGGAGCAGACTTCAATCACCTGTGGCCTTTCCTGGCCTGTTGGGACTTGCCTCTGGCCCTCATCTCTCTCTGCCCTGAAGTGGGCCCCTGCCAGGGGTAAAAGTAAGTGCGTGTCCCTTCATGTGGTTCTTCTGCTGATTCCTGACTGTGTGTGTCACAGAGCAGTACACAGTGACCGGGCTAATGGAAGCAACTCAGATGATGGTGGACATTGATGGGGACGTCCTCGTGTTCCTAGAACTGGCTCAGGTATGATGGCAGGGGAAGTCGGCTCTCTAAGCCTGGTCGTCTACACGGCAGTGCAGGCTTTGGCCCCTGGCGGGAGGAAGAGGGCATCCTGGGGTGGGATCTAAGGAGAACAGTAGGAGGCCCCACACACAGCTGTGGATTTCTGTGGATGCTAGAGGCCGGGCAGAGGTGACATGCTGGTGGCAGCAGTGGTGCCAAGGAGCAAATTTAATGTTTTCTCACAGTTTGCCTCTCGAGATGGGCTCTTTACAACTGTAGGGCCTTTGCCCATCTGCACCAAAGCTTTGGCTCTGGTTGTCTGTGCAGACCAGCCCTAGGCTCCAACACTGATGCTCTTCTGTTTGTCTCTAGTTCCACTGCGCGTACCAGTTGGCCGACTGGTGTCTTCACCACATTTGCACCAACTACAACAATGTGTGCCGCAAGTTCCCTCGAGACATGAAGGCCATGTCCCCAGGTGAGCATCTCTTGCAGGCCCCATGCCCCTCCCACGTGCTCAAGGGGCTCAGCTTGGGTCCAGATCTCTGCCTCAGGCGCCCAGAAGCTGCTGGAGATCCTTGGGCTGAGCTTGAGCTTGTGAGTGGGGAGCAGCTTGCAGAGACGTATATCCAGCCAAACAGAGGGGAGCCCAAGAAAAGAGCAGGGCTGCTGGAGACCTCAGGCAGTTTGCTTTATATCTCTGGGCTTTATATCCAAAGTGTTGGACTTTTGGTATTTAAGACTTGGTATTTTTCAGACAGGATTCCACAATAAGAAATCTATTTTATGTTGTGAGCCAGCGCACATATAAAAAACTATGTAAGTTGTTTTTAATGCTGCTCATGACCCACCACATTGATTTTACAACCTAGAAATGGGCACAGCTTGGGCCACATGGGTCCAGATATCCTCCGAGGTCCTCCCAGTTCCACCTCTGCTTAATTAACCTCTCAAGTCCTAGGAACTGGCATGGGCTCCAGGGAGAGGTGTTGTAGCCACTGTGAGTTCTTAAGGCCTTCGCTGGGCACCCTGCACTCTGTGGTGCCCCTCCTCCCTGCTGCCAGGTGATCCTCCCTGCTGCTGGGTGGACCTCCTGCTGATCGGTCATCCTCCCTGCTGCTGGGTGGTCCTCCCTGCCACCAGGTCATCCTCCCTGCTGACCTGTCATCCTCTGTGTCACCGGGTGGCCCTCCCTGTTGTCCTGTCATCCTCCCTGCCGACAGGTGGTCCTCCCTGCCATCCTGTCATCCTCCCTGCCGCCGGGTGGCCCTCTCTGCTGTCCTGTCACCCTCCTTGCCGCTGGGTGGCCCTCCCTGCTGTCCTGTCATCCTCCCTGCTGCTGGATGGCCATCCCTGCTGTTCTGTCATCCTCCCTGCCATTGGGTGGCCCTCCCTGTTGTCCTGTCATCCTCCCTGCCGACAGGTGGTCCTCCCTGCCATCCTGTCATCCTCCCTGCCGCCGGGTGGCCCTCTCTGCTGTCCTGTCACCCTCCTTGCCGCTGGGTGGCCCTCTCTGCTGTCCTGTCATCCTCCCTGCTGCTGGATGGCCATCCCTGCTGTTCTGTCATCCTCCCTGCCATTGGGTGGCCCTCCCTGCTGTCCTGTCATCCTCCCTGCCACTGGGTGGCCCTCCCTGCCGTCCTGTCATCCTCCCTGCCGCCGGGTGGTCCTCCCTGCCGCTGGGTGGCTCTCCCTGCTGTCCTGTCATCCTCCCTGCTGCCGGGTGGCCCTCCCTGCTGTCCTGTCATCCTCCCTGCTGCTGGATGGCCCTCCCTGCTGTCCTGTCATCCTCCTTGCTATTGGATGGCCCTCCCTGCTGTCCTGTCATCCTCCCTGCCGCCGGGTGGTCCTCCCTGCCGCTGGGTGGCTCTCCCTGCCGTCCTGTCATCCTCCCTGCTGCCGGGTGGCCCTCCCTGCCGTCCTGTCATCCTCCCTGCTGCTGGGTCGTCCCCCCTGCTGTCCTGTCATCCTCCCTGCCTCCGTGTTGTCCCCCCTGCTGTCCTGCCATCCTCCCTGCTGCCTAGTTGTCCTCCCTGCTGGCCACACACCCTGCCATTCTCCCATGGAGCTTTCTCCTTTGCACCCTTGGGGCATTTTCTTTCAAAACCACATCCCTGCCCTCCGAACCTTCTAGCCTGCCCGCCTTCAGGATCAGTCTAGCCCCTGAGCCTCGCCTCCCTCCAGGCTGCCGGCGTCTGTCCTCCTGCGGCGCCCCCACCCCCACCCCCCAGCTACCTGTGCAGTCACCTGGCCACGCACTTCGCTGCCCTCCCTCCTCACGCTCCATCCCAGCCTGGCCTGTCCGGCGTGCACGGGAGGCCACGAGGCTGTCTGTCCCTCTGTCGTGGAGGTGCCTCTGCCCAGCGCTGGCACCACCTCCTTTAGGAGGCTCTGCAGCTACGCCGAGGACAGTGGAGGCAGGGCTGAACCCCGGCCCTGGGACTGGGGGCGCCCCTCCGGCCACTTCTGCTGCCCACTCGCTAACTGAGCCCCACTGCCTTCTGCTCCAGAAAACCAGGAGTATTTTGAGAAGCACCGATGGCCGCCTGTCTGGTACCTGAAGGAAGAAGATCACTACCAGCGGGCGCGGAAGGAGCGCGAGAAGGAGGACTACCTGCACCTGAAGCGGCAGCCCAAGCGGCGGTGGCTGTTCTGGAACAGCCCCTCCTCGCCATCCTCTTCTGCGGCCTCGTCGTCATCCCCATCTTCCTCCTCGGCTGTGGTCTGAGACGCCACTGCCCTCTTCTGACCCTGCTGCTGATCTGTCCACTCGCCTTTGCCCCTCTGCTCTTCTGCATCGCCCCCTCCACCCTCCAGGGACAAGGGAACCCCCGGTACCAGGACCCTGAGGGCAGAGCTGTTCTCACCAGCCCACGTAGCTCAACAAGGGGGGGGGGGGCTTGTGGATCAGAACGGGGACCTCCCCTGCAGGGGACCCCAGTTCCAAAGCAGGGCAGGAGGCAGATGACTGCTGGGAGGTGGGCGGCGAGGGAGGGTTGAGAGCTCTGGCATCTGACTCTGGGGTGGAGAGCGCTGGCATCCAAGGGAAACCCAACTGTGAGGCTGCGCAGAGGCAGCCCCCTCCCGGGAGCCACTGTGCACAGGGAGGGTCCTGTGTCTCTTGGCCATGTTTTTCCATCAATGGACCTGAGGGCTGCAGATGTTTTGTGGGCATTTCCATACAGCGCCTACTCAGATCCCCACTGGAGAAGTCAGGGTAATTAAGCCTTCAGACCCAACTTGAGGCTTCCGCATCCTGGGGTGCAGCTGCCAAGGCCAAGGGGGGGAAGGCTTGCACTTGGCAGGCATCCCTCCCTCCCGAGGCGGTAGGTGTCCAGGCCTAATAATGGGTGGCGGAGCCTGTTCAGAGCTTCGGGCCTAGGAGCAGTGGCTCTTGGTACAGTGAGAGACTCCTCCCTCCCCGTCCTTCACCTCTCAGATCCAGAGACGGGAACCAAAGGAGACCACTGGAACAGGGGAGAGGAGAAAGTGAGTGGTGGGGTCTGGGCGCAGCAACCCCCTGCTCTTCTGGGCTCCTCCCCCTGCCTCTGGTCAGCACGGCTTCTTAGCACTGTGGGGCAAAATTAGCAAAAAAATCAAAAACAAAAAAAAAGATCTCAAACAACAGCAAAATCACCACCAACAAAGACACTTTAGCCACTATCCCCTCAAAGAAAAAAAAAAAAAAACCGAAAAAGACCCTGTATAGCTTACAAACAGGGGCCTTCCTGTTGAAGAGACAAAAGCTTAGGTTTGTAGGACTGATTCCAGTGCCTGTCAGGAAAGGACCTGTCACCTGCTGGCTCTGAGGACAGCATGCTAGGATTGAGGCTTCGGGAGCAGGGGCAGGGTGGTCTCAGGGCTTGGACATGGCATTGGACCCCTGCTTTGCCCACTGCGACGCATTATCCTCCTTGACTTCAGAGAGTGACTTCACAGGATGTGAATGTGCTGGGGGTCAAAGGTCAGGGAAAGGGTACCTGGAGAACAGGAGTCCCTGTAAATGACAGGTCAGAAGACGTGACCTCCATTAGTGCTGGTTCCGGCAGGAAAAGGGGAGAAGTGAGTAGGAGCAAAGCAAAGTCAGTCCCATGTAGAGGGGGACCAGGCTGGAGGATGGTGGCGGCTAAGGCAGCAGTTGGCAGCCCCACAGGGAAAAGCTGGGCCACATTTAACCCTTCCCCCATTTTGTGATCCTGACCCATATTTCACCCCCCACACCGTATGTAGACATAAAGGTCCTACTGATGACCTGTGGAACCCTGGAGTGGGCTCCACCAGCAAGACCCTGGCTTTAGATCCGGGGTCAAGCAAACCAGAAACCGAGGGAAAGTCAGCAACAGTTTTGTGGTACTGGGACCTAGGGATCTGATGGTAAGTCCTCGGTAAGAGCAGGAGCAGGAGCAGGAGGTGGCAGGTCTAGAGTGGCTGCACCCCCTGCTGTCTGAGCCACACACTTCTCAGAGCCTGCAGCTGCCTCTTCTCCAGGGTGGCTGGCTGGCTGGCCATGCTCCTGCCTGCTAAGTCCTCGTCCTTGGCTTCGTGGCCAGGCTGAGGAGGCAACAGGCTGGGGCAGGAGGCAGCTCGCAAGGGGGAGTGCAGCCCTGCACCCAGCACTTTTGCTCTGGGTTGTTCTGGAAACTTGGTGAGGAGGAGAGAATGCTAAAGTCTAGTGGGAGAGGGAGTGGGTGTCTGAGCTTGTGGGGCTAAGTGGTGTGGCCCGCTGAGGATGCAGACAGATCATAGAGAAAGGAAGGGTGGCCCATGGGAGAGGGAGCCACAGGACCACCCTAACCACCAGGGTGGGCTCAGGGTCCCACTGCTCCTTCCAAGCTGTACTAAGGGGGCCCAGTGGGCCTAGGTGTGAGCCAGAGACCACCTGAGGGAGCCAGTCCAGGGCTAGTGTTCCACATAGGAGAGGGAGGGAAGAGGGAATGAATTCCAGGCCCCCAAGAACATGGCATTTGGAAATCCAGGTAGACAGGAAGGACAAGCCCCAAGAACACACACCCCTGTACTCGTGTCACTCAAAGCTGCTTCCGAGGAGAGTGGGAGGGTGGGGGAGAAAAAACACACACACCTCTTTTTATATAAGGTTTCATATTTAATTTGGTCATGAATTCATAAATACATGAGTATTTTGTACCTAATGGCCTTCCTTGTATTGTTTGATATGTCCAACAACCTCCTCAAAGGTGGCCCCTCCCACTGGAGAGAAGCATGAAAGGACACTGATCGCCAATGAAACACTTAAGTGCCTGTTGAGGGCCAAGTGCCATTTGGACTGGATCCGCCCCGTGCCCTGATGCAGCTTACCTTAAATGAGTAAGCGTGACAAACACTGATAAGGCTAATACCGTGGCGGGGCACTCGAGTCCTCTGACAAAGGGACTGCAGGTGAGCTGAACGCTGACTGGCAAAAATTCACAGCCCCTTCTGCAGATGCATAGAAGGGACAGCAGAGGCAGGAAACCTCGAGTCTCCCAGGAAAGGGAAGGGGCAGGCGGGCACCTCTGGAAGGAAGCAGGAGGGAGGTGAGCAGCAAGGCCGTGAGGGTTGTGCCCCCACTTGAGCACCAGTACCCTGACTGCCTGAGTGTTCAGGCAACTCCATTTGGGCGCAGCCAATGGATCCAGTCTGGGCACTCCCAGACCTTTGAGATGAGAAAGCTGGAGAACCCTGAGAATAACTTCTATAACATCATCCCGACATGACTGGAATACAGGTAGGGTGGAAAGGGGGCTGAAGATGAAGATGGGGCTGAAGGTCCACTCATGTGATCTGCAATGTCACGTGACATAGAACCTATTTGCCACCTCAGAGCTAACCCGTCTCCCAACCCGCCCACATCTATAGGCAAGGAGGAGGCCCTCACGTGCCTGCCCTGGGCACCCAGACACAGGGCTGCATGAGGACACCGCTTCTCCTCACTCTCCTTACTTGGAAACATCAGCTTATGAGTAATATACGTATTCATACACCCATGTAATTATCATGTTGAAAAGAGTGGGCACTTCAGGAGTTTCTGGTCATCTGATTCTGGAAAACAGCATATGAGGGAGAATTGGAACCCGCCATCCCCATCCCCAGAGGTGGGCTGTTTGACCTTCTCCCTTTGTATGCGAACTCATTTTATGATTGGCTGCTCCCATTAAGGTAATCCATGTAATCAAACTAATAAGTACATTTCAAAAAGTTCTACGCACTCATATAAACATATACAAAAATAGGAAGATGCACATCCTCTATTAATAGATATAAGTAAATGCACACATGCCAACATGATTGCATCTTACAATATAACAAATACAAGTAGCAAGTGCAATTCTATTAGGATGAGTAAGGCCCATGAATCAAAAAGAAAGACGCACTAAAACAACCTGCAGGCCACACATGAGCATATAAAGGCACACCTCGGAGACACTGCAAGTTTGCTTCCAGAGAAACCCAATAAAGCAAATATCACAATAAAGTGGGTCAAATGAATTCTCTGGTTTCCAAGTGCATACAAAAGTTATGTCTGCACTATACTGTAGTCTATTAAATGTGCAATAGCCTTATGTTTTAAAAAGTCATGTATTAAATTAAAAAATACTTTATTGCTAAAAAAAATGGTAACCATCATCTGAGCTCTCAGCGAGTTGTAATCTTTTTGCTGGCAGAGGCGCTTGCCTCGATGTTGGTGGCTGCTGACTGATCAGGGTGGTGGCTGCTGAAGGTGGGAATGGCTGTGGCAATTTCTTAAAATAAGACACCAATGGAGTTGGCTGTGTTGATTGACTCTTCCAATTTCTCTGTAGCACGCGATGCTGTCTGATAGCATTTTACTCACAACAGAACTTCTAACAAAATTGGAGTCGGTCCTGTCCAACCTGCCGCTGTTCTATTGACTGAGTTTACTCAACGCTCTAAATCTTTCGTTGTCATCTCAACAATCTTCCCAAAGTCTTCTCAGGAGTAGATTCCATCTCAAGAAACCACTTTCTTTACTCATACACAAGCAGCAACTCCTCATCTGATCATGAGATGGCAGCCATTTGGTTCCATCTTCAGGCTCTACCTCCAGTTCTACTCCTCTTGCTCTTTCCCCCACACTTCCTCCTCTGAAGTCTTGAATCCATCAAAGTCATCCATGAAAGTTGTAATCAAATTCTTCCAAATATCATGTTGATATTTTGACTTCTTCCCATGAATCACAAATATTCTTAATGGCACCCACTTAGAATGGTGAATCCTTGCCAGAAGGTTTTCAATTGACTTTGCCCAAATCCCTCAGAAGAATCGCTATGTATGGCAGCAACAGCCTTACAGAATGTATTTCTTAAATAATAAGACTTGAAAGTCTAATGACTCCTTGATCTCTAAGCTGCAGAATGGATGCTATGTGAACAGAAAACAACATTCATCGCATTATACGTCTCCATCAGAGTTCACGTGTGACCAGGTGCATTGTCAATAAGCAGTCGTATTTTGAAAATAATATTTTTTTCTGAGTGGTAGGTCTCAACAATGGACTTAAAATATTCAGTAAACCATGTTGTGATCTGAAGTGCCATCATCCGGGGTTTGTTGCTCCATTCACAGAGCATGGGGCAGAGTGAACTTAGCATAATTCTTCAGGACCCTGGGATTTTCTTTTTTTTTTTTTTTTAATTTTTTATTTATTTATGATAGTCACACAGAATGAGAGAGAGACAGAGAGGCAGAGACACAGGCAGAGGGAGAAGCAGGCTCCATGCACCGGGAGCCCGACATGGGATTCGATCCCGGGTCTCCAGGATCGCGCCCTGGGCCAAAGGCAGGCGCTAAACCGCTGCGCCACCCAGGGATCCCAGGACCCTGGGATTTTCAAAATGATCAATGAGCTCTGGCTTCAATGTCAAGGCACCCGCAGCATTAGTCCCTAAGGAGGGGTTCGGGCTGTTCCTTGAGGCTTTGAAGCCAGGCACTGACTTCTCCTCCCTCTAGCTATGAAAGTCCTAGCTGGCATCTTCTCCCGATAGAGACCATTTTCTCTACATTGGAAATGTGTTGTTCAGTGTAGCCTCCTTCATCACTTATCCTGGCTGGATCTCCTGGAGAACGTGCTGCAGTGTCTACACCAGCACTGGCTGCTTCACCTTGCACTGGGTTGTGGTAGAGACGGCTTCTGGCCTTAAACCTCATGAACCCATCTCTGGTAGCTTCCACCTGTTCTCCTGCAGCTTCCTCACTGCTCTCAGCCTTCACAGAACTGAGGAGAGTCAGGGCCTTGCTCAGGATAGGCTCTGGCTTAACAGAATGTCCTGGCTGGTTTCATCTATGCAGACCACTCAGACTTTCTCCACATCAGCAATAAAGCTGTTTGGCTTTCTTATCATTCATGTGTTCACTGGAAGGCACTTTTAATTTCCTTCATCAACTTTTCCTTTGCATTCACAACCTGGCTAACTATTTGTTGTGTGGCCTAGCTTTTGGCCTATCTCAGCTTTCAACATACCTTCCTCACTAAGCTTAAGCATTTCTAGCTGGATTGATTTAGAGTGAGAGACATGTGACTCTTCCTTTCACTTGAACACTTAGAGGCCATTTTGGGGTTAGCTGGTAGACCAGTCAGAAAACACATATGATTTATCAATTAAATTCACAATCTTATATGGGCACAATTCATGGCACCTTGAAACAATTACAAACATCACTGATCAAACAATAACATAATATAATAATAAAAAATAGGTTTGAAACATTGCAAGAATTATCAAAATATGCTTCAGAGATTCGAAGTCAGCAAATGTTGGAAAAATGACACCAACAGACTTGCTCAACTCAGGGTTTCCACAAACCTTTAATTTGTAAAAAGTACAATATCTTTGATGTGCAATAAAATGAAACACAATAAAATAACTGTAACTATAATCCATATAGAATTTTTCCACAATTCACTTATCACACCCAACATTTCATAAAAATTATTCCAAGTGCATTAAAAAAAGTTCTAGAACACTCCAAGAGCTGTATGTTTTTAATTACAATTTCTCCAAGTATTCATCAAGTATCTACTCTTTCTTCCAGGCTGGTGTCTACTCATGCTTCCCCTTCAAGAAGAAAGGTAAACCAGGGAAGCTCAGATTCCTAAAAAGATTCTTTCCACTCAGGAGATAGCAGAGCTGTCCCATCTTCTTCATAGATGCCCTTTCCAGAGCCCACCAGGTGCTCCTGAATTCTCTCCTTCACCTATCTTTTCCCTAGCATTTCCAAGGCATCCAGTGGGATGTTGACTGAGGCACCTTGCCCCATTTTGTTGAGCCACGTCATTAGCATTTCATACAGGGCATCCTGTATGCCCAAAGCACAACCTCTGGCCACGGGGATACCTCATTGTCCATGAGGCCCATCTGACACATAAGTAGGTTCTAGGAATGAAAGAATACAATGTTTGGAAAATAATCAAAGACCAGCCTCAGCCCTGGTTGGGAGAAAGCCACAGAGACAGTGAGTTGGGACACACTTCAGAAAGGGCATAGAGTGGGATTCCTGGGTGGCGCAGCAGTTTGGCGCCTGGCCTGACTTTGGTCCAGGGCGCGATCCTGGAGACCCGGGATTGAATCCCACATCGGGCTCCCAGTGCATGGAGCCTGCTTCTCCCTCTGCCTATGTCTCTGCCTCTCTCTCTCTCTAAAACTGGAAAAAAAAAAAAGGGCATAGAGTGCTGATTCAGGGCTAGACCTGAGAGTAGAACCTGATGAGCTCCCCCTGCTGGTGAACATGCTGTTCTGCATCCTTATCAGCTTCCCATCAGCTGAAAATCAGGCCACACTGCTGGGGCTTCCCCTGAAGCGAAGGCATTCTGGGGAGTCAAGGTCAGCCTAAGGCTGGGCTGATAGCCCATGTGGGAGGATAGAGGAATTATGTAAGGAGAAGGCATTATGAGGTAGGAGACACAGGGTGGGACAGACTGTGGGAGCAACAGATCCTCCAAGAGGGAAAACTGCACTAATCATGAGAGGGAAGTCCTAGGGCTGCCATACCTGCACCTGTGCACAGAGCAGGGGCCTGGAGGTAGCAGGGCCTCACTTAACTCCCAGTTCAGCCTCCCTCACCCACACTCTGGCAGTGCCAGATGGGAGCAATCAGACTCTGAGCAAGAATTTAACCTGTAAGACAGAGCAAATCATCATCAAATTCCTGGCACCATACTGAGATTAAATAAGATGTGTGAGAAATGCACTGCACACTGCCATCCACAGATATATAAGGTGAGCATTGAATAAAAGTATGTATTTTCTGGTAGTTTCTTGAAAAAAAAAACAGGTGATAGTAACTTTTTTTTTTGAGAGAGAGAGAGAGAGAGAGCTTGTGTGAGTAGGAGGAGCTGCTAGAGGATGGGCAGAGGGAGTGAGAGAGAGAATCTTAAGCAGGCTCCACACCCAGTGCAAAGCCCACCCAGTGCAAAGCCCAACGTGTAGGGGGCAGGGCTCGATCTCACAACCCTGAGATCATGACCCAAGCCAAAGTCAGATGTTTAACTGACTGAGTCACCCAGACCCTCCCCTCTTCCCTGATATTAATTCTAATAATATGTGGTGGACAACCTAGAAGAAATGGATAAATTCTTAGAAACACATAAACTACCAAGACTGAAACAGGAAAAAAAAATAAAAGAAAAGAAAAGAAAACCTGAACAAACCAATAAATAGCAAAGAAATTGAATTAGTAATCAAAAATCCAAAAAACAAAAGCCCGGGGCTAGATGGCTTCACAGGCAAATTCTAACAAATGTTGAAAGAAGAGTTAATACCTGTTATTTTCAAACTATTCCAAAAAATAGAAAGGGAAGGAAAACTTCCAAATTCATACCAAGAAGTCAGCATTACCCTGATCCCAAAACCAGATAAAGACACTAAAAAGAGAGAGAGAGAGAAGCAGTCTAATATCTCTGATGAACATAGATGCAAAAATCCTTAACAAAATACTAGCAAACTGAATCCAACAATATATTTAAAAAATCATTCACTATGATCAAGAGGGATTTATTCCTGGGTTGCAAGCATGGTCCAATATTCACAAATCAATGTGATATATCAGTAAGAGAAAGGATAAGAACTATATGATCATTTCAATAGATACAGAAAAATTATTTGGCAAAGTACAACATGCATTCATAGAAAAACCCTCAACAACATATATTTACAGGGAACATACCTCAATATAATAAAGGCTGTATTTGAAAAACTCACAGCTAACATCAGCCTCAATGGAGAAAAACTAAAAGGTTTTCCTCTATAGTCAGGAAGACAAAGATGTCCACTCTCACCACTTCTATTCAACATAGTACTGGACTGTACTAGCCACAGTACTCAGACAACAAAAAGAAACAAAATACATCCAAATCAGTAAGGAAGAAGTAAAACTCACTATTTGCGGATGACATACTATATATAGAAAACTTGAAAGACTCCGCTAGGGGTACCTGGGTGGCTCAGTCTGTTAAGTGCCTCACTCTTGGTTTCAGCTCAGCTCATGATCTCAGGGTCCTGTGATAGAGCTCTAAGTTGAGCTCTGAGCTCAGCGTGAAGTCAGCTTGTCCTTGTCCTCTTCCTCCCCCTCTTTCTCCCTCACCCCTCTCTCTGGAATAAATAAATAAAATCTTAAAAAAAAAAGAGATTCCACCAAAAAACTCCTAGAACTGATAAACAAATTCAGAGAAGTCTCAGGATACAAAAATCAATGTACAGAAATCTCTTGCATTTCTATACACTAATAATGAAGCAGCAGAAAGAGAAACTAAGAAAATAATTCCATTTACAATTGCAGCAAAAAAAAAAAAAAAAAGGTATCTAGGAGTAAACCTAACCAAAGAGGTAAAAGACCTGTACTCTGTAAACTACAAAACACTGATGAAAGAAATTGAAGATGACAAAGAAATGGAAAGACACTCCATGCTCATGGATTGGAAGAACAAATATTGTTAACATGTCTATACTACCCAAAGCAGTGTACACATTTAATGCAATCCCTACCAAAATACCAACACTTGTCACAAAGCTAGAACAAATAATCCCAAAATTTTTATGGAACCGCAAAATACCCCAAATAGTCAAAGCAATCTTGAAAAAGAAAAGCAAAGCTGGAGGAAGCACAGGTCTGGACTTCAGGTTATATTACAAAGTTGTAGTCATTGAAAGAGTAAGGTACTAGCACAAAAATAGATACATAGATGAATAGAACAGAAAAGAAAACCCAGAAACAAACTCACAATTACATGGCCAACTGATCTTTGACAAAACAGGAAAGAATATGCCATGGGAATAAGACAACCTTTTCAACAAATGGTGTTGGAAAAACTGGACAGCAACATGCAGAAAAATGAAACTGGACCACTTTCTTACACCACCCACAAAAATAAATTCAAAATGTATGAAAGAAAGAAAATAAATTAAAAAAATGTATGAAAGACCTCAATGTGAGACCTGAAATCATGAAAATTCTAGAAGAGAGCATAAGCTGTAATTTCTGACGTTGGCCATAACAACTTCTTGCCAAATAGGTCTTCTGGATCAAGGGAAACAATAGCAAAAATAAACTAGTGGGACTATATAAAAATAAAAAAACTTCTGCACAGCAAAGGAAACAAACAAAACTAAAAGGAAACCTATGGAATAGGAAAACATAGTTACCAATGACATATCTTATAAAGGGATGGTATCAAAATATACAAAGAACTTATATAACTCAACACCCAAAAGCAAATAATCCAATTAAAAATGAACTTACATTTCTCCAAAGAAGACATCCAGATGGCTAACAGATACATGAAAAGATGCCCAATATCACTCATCATCAGGGAAACACAAGTCAAAACTACAATGTAATATCACCTCATACCTGTCAGAATGGCTAAAATCAAGAACACAAGAAACAACAGATGTTGGTGAAGATGTGGAGAAAAAGGAACTGTGCACTGTTGGTGGGAATGCAAACTGGTGCAGGCACTGTGGAAACAGTATGGTGGTTCCTTAAAAAGTTAAAAATAGACCTACCCTATGATCCAGGAATCACCCTCCTGGGGTATTTACCCAAAGAATATAAAAACATTAATTCAAAGGAATACATGCACCCCTATGCTTATAACAGCATTATTTATAACAGCCAAGATATGGATGCAGCCCAAGTGTCCATAAAGAAGATGTGATATATATATATATATATATATATATATATATATATATATATATATTACATACACACATATATATAATGGAATATTACTCAGCCATAGAAAGGAATGAAATCTTGCCATTTGCAATGACATTGATGGAACCCTCTCTGCCTCACCTCCCTCCATAAGGATGATGTGGGAGCAGGGCATGGGCTGGGGGCTCAGACACTGAACAAAATGCCCCAGGGCCTGGGGAAAGGGAGAGGGCCATTCCAACTTTGGGGGAACCCTTGGGGAGGGGGGACAGAAGGGGGAGAAATGAAGTAAAAATAAACACATCAAATCTCTGTTGGGTTCTTCTCTGACCAAAGCCGTATAACTCCCTTATCCTCTCCTCCTGACTCTTGTCACTCATTTGAGATGGCCATTGCCTCTCTGTCCCAGCTGGGGGCTCTGAAGCCCTGAAGAACTGGCCTGCTGTCCTGGATGTGGTCAGGGAGGTAAGGTGACTTACCTTATATAACTTATATAATTTATATAACCTATGGGATCCCTGGGTGGCGCAGAGGTTTAGCGCCTGCCTTTGGCCCAGGGCGCGATCCTGGAGGCCCGGGATCAGATCCCACGTCAGGCTCCCGGTGCATGGAGCCTGCTTCTCCCTCTGCCTGTGTCTCTGCCTCTCTCTCTCTCTGTGTGACTATCATAAATAAATAAATTAATTAATTAATTAATTAAACCTTATAATTTATATAACCTATATAACTCAACACCCAAAAACAAATAATCCAATTAAAAATGGGAAGAATGGCAACCATAGAAGTGGTCTACTGTGCCCAGTGGAAAACTCAACGTGGTCAGGAGGGAAAGGTGCCCAGGTGTGGGGAGGGGCCACCGTGGGGGGGCAGTGGGGAACATGCGGACAGAAGAAGAGGGGCCACTGTGGGCTCAGAAGACCCCACGGGCCCAGGGAAGTGCTAACAGAATGACAGGGCTGTGTGAAAGCAGGATGGAGAAAGGAGTATAAGGAAACTTGGGTCTTCTGTAGGTTAGGAGCCCCCCTGACTCTAATGTCTCAGTAGGGTACTTCTGGCAGAACTCAGGAGAATCTTTTCTGAGGACAGTACCAGGTTTGCATCCTGACACTCCCTGTCTCTGATCCTAATGCATGGACTTACCTCCTCATTTGGAGACAAAGGATAAAGATTTGGTGATGTTTCCTTCATGACCCTCAATCCTTCTTCACCATTCAAACACCTTTCCACTAGCTGAACTCAGTTGGCCAAGGAATTTGGGAGCCACTTTCTGCTGCAACATACATGGGGCACACACAAAGGACAGCCACCATTCACTTGTCACTAACAGATGGATGAAAAGGATGACTATTCATTATTTACTACATCAGGATTGAAAGGAAGTATCCATTAGATCACAGGGTCAGTAGCAAGAGGTGGGGTTTAACCGGAGAGACCCAGATGGAGAGGAGCCCTTAAGTGCCTTCCCCAAACCCAGCACTGCTACAGTGACACTGGGCTCTGGGCTGTGAAGGCTGAGAGAGCCCGGCACCTGCCAAGATCACAGGGCCCAGTGCTAAGTGGGGCCTGGCCCAGGGCTAGACCTACCTCACAGCTCAAACCTAGCACTTTTCTACTCAGCCAGGCTTCTTCCATGCTGTACCTATACAGGTCCCCACAATGATAGACAGATTTTTTTACCCTTCTTCTAATGGATATTCTACAAGATTTCCCTACCAGGTGACATGCATTATAAAAGCAATTCCTGTTTTTATTTTATTGACTTAATACATAAGGATGTAAGAAAGACCAAGCTGAAATGCAGGTTTCAGATTGTACATTGGCCATGACCACCATGTAATTATCACCTTGAACCCACCTCTGAGCAGGGCCTTCACAGGTTCTGTACATGAGTGACATACTGTGCAGAGTATGCAGAAAAGGGGGTGTTCCAATGATTGGTGAAATCCATTCCTTATGTGCATGGCTTGTAACCTCTCTTCAATTCTGATGCACAGGTTCCTGGGAAGAGGGTAGAAAGCTGATGAGTGAATGCTCACAGGAATCCCAGAGGCTGGCAGTGGTGGCCAGACACTCAGCTTTAAGCTGCCAGTGGAATCTAAACAGAATCTAAATCTAATCCTCTATCCAACCTTGATCTTTTCAATCCTGCAACTGCCAGGTACATTAGACTGCAGCACTGCCAATGGAAATTATATTACAAGCCACACATGGGGGTGCCTGTGTCTGCCTTTGGCCCAAATCGTGAATCCATGGTCTTGGGATCGAGTCCTGCATTGGGCTCCCTGCCTAGTGGAGAGTCTGCTTCTCCGTCTCCCTCTGACCCTCCTCCAGCTCATGCTCTCTCTCTCTCTCTCAAATAAATAAGTAAAATCTTAAAAAAAAAAAAGCCACACATGAAATTTGAATTCATGGTTACCACCTTAAAAGATAACAAAGAGGTCAAATTAATTTGAACAATATATATATATTAAAGATTTTATTTATTTATGAGAGACACACACACACACAGAGAGAGAGAGAGAGAGAGAGAGAGAGAGAGGCAGAGACACAGGCAGAGGGATAAGCAGGCTCCATACAGGGAGCCCGACACGGGACTCCATCCCGGTCTCCAGGACCACACCCTGGGTTACCCGGGCTGCCCTGAACAATATATTTTTTAACCTAAAATAATCTACACATCATTTTCATGTATAATCACTAAAAGACAGTGAGATATTTCACTTTCTGTAACACTTCACTCAAAAGATAAAACCCATGTTCCCTCCACAGTGTCCTGGGTGTGTGATTTGCCCCCACTTATCCCCTTGACTTCTTCACCCTCCAGTCCACCCCAGCTGTACCCTAGCTTTGCTCAGAGAAGGCCAGTCCCTGCCTCTCCCTGGAGCAATAGTGTCTCAGGGATGGGGTGTGGTGGGGGCTCCCAGAACTTCTGCTTGGCCCTTTGCACCATAGACAGTGGCTCTTTGCGTCAGTCACCATTCCCAGAAGACCTCAGCAATCTGTTTCTGTCCCACTTGTCACCCAATTGTCCTTGAGGCTCTTATTATGTGTCTCTGACTGACTGACATGTTCGTCTGTCTGTCTGGATGCCATCCCAGGAGAGCTTCAGGAGGCAGGGGCCCCATGCTGTCCACTAACACCATGCCTGGCACACAGAAGACATTCAATAAACACATGTGAAATAAGGGACCAGGAACCGTAGAAATCAGAAGACTGGAAGGACATGCAGACACCGGTGGGGTAAGGGCTGGAGATCAGTCTTTCAAATGTACCTGCTGGACACAACCCATCCCAGGCACTGGGCTCTCAGCTAACTTCTGCTGAACGCTGTCTTGCCTGGAGGCCTGTTGTGGCTGAGGAAGTTAGGACCTGTAGGGACAAAGGGGGGGCAGGCATGAGTGGCAGCCAGATCCTCCTCCCTCACCAGGCTGCCTCTCACATTGTCTCCAGTCCAGCCTAAAAAAAGCAAACAGGCTGAGACCTTCCCTCTAGCTCTATACTCTCTTTTGCATTCATGTTTGTCTGTTTTCCTTTGGTACTAGCAAGTGACTTACACCAGAAAAACCTCAGTATTCTTTTCTCTTGTAATACAATAAAACGTATTTGTCCTACAAAATATGGGCGAGGATAGTTTTTTTTCTTTCTTTTTAAGATTTTATTTATTTTGGGAAGCCCGGGTGGCTCAGCAGTTTAGCACTGCCTTTGGCCCAGGGTGTGATCCTGGAGACCCGGGATCGAGTCCCGCGTCGGGCTCCCTGCATGGAGCCTGCTTCTCCCTCTGCCTGTGTCTCTGTCTCTCTCTCTCTCTCTCTCTCTCTCTCTCTCGCTCTCTGTGTGTGTGTGTCTCTCAAAAAAGATTTTATTTATTTTATTCATGAGAGGAGAGAGAGAGAGAGAGAGAGAGAGAAGCAGAGACTTAGGCAGAACGAGAAGCAGGCTCCCCATAGGGAGCCCAAATGCGGGACTCAATCCCAGGACCCCAGCATCACAACCTGAGCCAAAGGCAGATGCTCAACCACTGAGCCACCCTGGTGCCCAAGGAAAGCTTTTATAAGAATATAAAACCACATGTGAAGTCCTCAATTAGAGACAGCATTCATTATTTTCTTCCTTTTAGTTGTTTTATTTGACCGTATGTGTGAACTCATTTTCTCTCTCTCTTGCACATGCACACATACACACACACTTTTTAACAAATGAAGGTTACGTTATGAGCACACTTTTTAAAAAGCAGGATATGGAGGGGCACTTGGCTGGCTCAGGTGGTAAAGTATGTGACTCTTGACCTCAGGGTCATGAGTTCAAGCCCTACATTGGGCATGGAATCTACCTAATAAAATTAAGTTAAAAAAATAAATGAAAACCAATTTTTGGAAAGCTGTAACTGGAAATCTATTTTTTTTCAATAAAGTGCTCATCTCTGAGAATGAATGAATGAATAAATGAATGAATAAATAAAAACCAGGATATGGGATGTTAAGTAATGAACTTCTAACTTTAACCTAACCACCTCATCCCAAAATGAGCTTGCCAATATCTCACAAAATACCAAAAGGAGGAAATAGCAATACAGAAACTGGGCCAGCGTCTCTATGCTGAAAATGACATGAGGACAGCCAAAGAAATGTGATAGGATTAGCTAGTAATACTGCATCACTGTTCATGGTCTCATTTTGAAAGTTGTGTTGTGGTTACAGGAGAGAATGTCTTCATTTGTTGAAAACATACACTAAAGCATTCAGGTATCCATCAGCTCTTTTTCAAAAGGTTCAGAAAAAGGGGTTTTGAAGAGTTTTTGCAACTTTTCTTTAACATGGGAGTATTTTACATTAGAAAGTTAAATTAAGAAAGAAACAAAGAAAAAGAAAGAAGAAGGAAAAGTTAAAATAAAAACAGCTTATTTGGAGCCCAGTTCAACTGACTATATCTAAACAAGATAAAATGTAGCCCTCTCCCACAGAAAACCTGCCAAGCATCTGGTGACAGCTAAGCTTCCGCATGTTCCAGGCTGGGCCTCCCTGAGTCCAGGCAATGCGGGGTCTCCTTTCTCTTCTCCCATATGCTCTTCCCTCCTGTCTTCCCTGCTTCTCTTCCTCAGATTCTTTCCCTCAATATTTTATTATGAACATTTTCAAGCATTCAGTAATATATATATATATATACATATATATATATACATATTCGCCGCCTGGATTCTATATATAACTAAGAGTTTGCTATATCTGTTCTATTCCAGGTTTCTATATCCATCCCTCTGCGATGAAATTCAGGTGTAGGTATCAGTACATTTCTCTTAATACTTTAGCATGTATTTCAATAACTAGAGTTCAATATTTGTTGACAGTTTTTTAAATTTTCACTTTATTTTTTAAATTATTTTTTTAGGTTTAAATTCAATTAACATAATGTGTTATTGGTTTCAGAGGTAGAGATCAGTGTGATTCATTGGTCTTTTTAAAAAAGATTTTATTTATTCATTTTTTAAAAAGATTTAATTTTTTTATTTATTCATGGGAGACACAGAAAGTGACAGAGATCCCAAGACCCTGGGATCACCTGAGCCAAAGACAGATGCTCAACCACTGAGCCATCCAGGTGCCCCAATTTTATTTATTTATTTGAGAGAGAGAGCACAAGAGAAAGCACAAGTGGGTGAGCAGGGGGTGGGGAACAGGGGGAGAAGCAGGCTCTCTGCTGAGCAGGGAGCTTGATCCCAGGACCCCGAGACCATGACCTGAGCTGAAGGCAGACTTAACTGACTGAGCCACCCAGGCGCCCCTCATCAGTCTTATATAATACCCAATGTTCATTACATCACATGCCCTCCTTAATGTCCATCACCTACCTACCCCATCCCCTCATCCCTTTCCCCTCCAGCAACCCTCAGTTTGTTTCCTATGATTAAGAGTTTCATATGGCTTCTCTCCCTCTCTGATTTCATCTTATTTTTTCCTCTTTCCCTATGAATCTTATATTCATGTTTCTTAAATTCCACGTATGAGTGAGATCATATAATTGTCTTTCTCTGATTAACTTTTGTTTAGCATTATTACCCTCTAGCTGCATCCACGTCATTGCAAATGGCAATGTTCCTGAAACAGAGCTCCTGGAACTCTTTTAATTTCCTCAGTGATGAGGGTGATAGGAGTGTCTTTTGTTCTAATAGGCCACATTAGATTAGGTGGGCTGCAGGGCAGCTTCTGGGTGAGGGCTGGTCACTGAAAGACCAAGCCATGAGAAGAAGTTTGAAATTTTCAACCTTACCCCCTATCCTCTGGGGAAAGTGAACAATGTAGAGATTGAGATAATAATTGACCATGCATCATGTGGGGAAACATCCATAAAATCCCTAAATGGGGTTTCAGAGAGCTTCCGGGTTGATGAACACATCCACCTGTTGGGAGGGTTGTATACACCAACTCCACAGGGACAGAAGCTCCCACTCTCTGGATTTTTCTGGACCTCACCCAATATACTTCTTCATCTGGCTATTCATTTGCATCTTTATAATAAATCAATAAACATGTTTCCCTGAGTTCTGTGAGCTGTTGTAGGGAATTATTGAACCTGAGGAGAGGGTCATGGGAACCAAGTCAGACAAAAGTGTGGGTCACGTGGGAGCCTATTTGTAATTGACATCTGAAGTTGGGGTGATTATGTGGGACTGAGCCCTCAAAGGTGGAATCTGCACCAACTCCTAGTAATCAGTGTCAGAGTACTTTGCTTCTCTCATTTCTATGTTTCCTTGTTACTTCATTTGGTTTAATTTTTTTTTTTTTGAGAGAAAGAGAGTGTGTCCTCTAGAGCAGGATTGGGGGTGGTGAGGGGCAGAGGGACAGGGAGACAGAACATCTTAAGCAGGCTTCACACCCAGCAGGGAGCCCGAGGTGGAGCTCGATCTCACAACCTTGAGATCATGACCTGAGCCAAAATCAAGAATTGGTCATTTAACCGACTGCACCATCTAGGTGCCCCAAATTTATACTTATTTCTATGGCTGATTAATGTTGATCTTCAGGTCACAGATTTTATATATTCCTCCTTCTCAACAGCTTAAGCGAGATATAATTCACAAGATTAATAATTATGCTGCTTTATATAAATCATTCATTTAAAGGATGCCTGGGTGGCTCATTGGTTGAGTGTCTGCTTTTGGCTCAGGATATGATCCCAGGGTCCTGAGATCAAGTCCCACATCAAGTTTCCTGCAGGGAGTCTGCTTCTCCCTCTGCCTGTCTCTGTGTCTCTCATGAATAAATAAATAATATCTTTTTTTTAAAAGTACATGGATATTGAGTGTTATGTTATCCTGATGAATCAACAATTTTATCATTATACACCCCTCTTTTTCTTTGCTAATAAGCCCTAATTGAAGCTTACTTTGACATTAAGAGAGCTACACTAAGCTTTCTTATGCTTACCAGTTGTGTTGTATATCTTTTCCCATCTTTGCTTTTAGTCTATCTAGGACTTTGTATTTAAAGTGTATGTTTTATACAGCTTATAATTTCAGCTTGCTTTTTCCCCCCAGAAAAATCTCAGCCTTGTATTTAGAGTGTTTATTCTAGTTACATTTATTGTTGTGGCCATATGTGGAAAACACAATCTGCCACAATTTCATTTTGCCTTTTCCTTAAAGGATATTTTTCCTGGACATGAATGAATAATGGGGCAATAGGTTTTTTTCACCGCTTCGAAGATTCTGGGCTTCAATTTTTTTCAGTTTTCACTCACTGTTCTTTTTTTCACTCACAAATTTTTTCTTCATCATTAACTATGACGTGCACAGGTGGTATTTTTTATGTTTATCTTTCTTTGGAGTTTACTGAGATTTCTGAATCTGTAAGTTGATGTTTTGCACTGCATTTGATAAAATTCTTTTTCTCATTTCCTCAGCCATTTCTTCTGAGTCTCCAACTTCACATATATTGCATGATATTACTCCACAGGTCACTGAGACTCTGATCCTTATTTTTTTTTAAAGATTTTATTTATTTATTCATGAGAGACACAGAGAGAGAGAGAGATGCATAGACACAGGCAGAGGGAGAAGCAGGCTCCATGCAGGGAGCCTGACGCGGGACTCGATCCCAGGTCTCCAGGATCACACTCCAGGCCGCAGGTGGTGCCAAACCAGTGCACCACCGGGGCTGCCCGACTCTGATCCTTATTATTTTTCAATTCTTTTTGCCTCCATTGTTCGGAATGAATGGTTTCTATTGATCTCTTCAAGTTCAATTATTCTTTCTTCTGCAATGTTCAAAATGTTAATAATATTCAAGAGAATTTTTTATTTCAGATAATGGAATTTTCAGTTCTAAAATTTCCTTTTGATTGTTTTATAGTTATCATTCCTATATTGAGATATT